TCAGAGCGCCTGCCTTCCGATCCACCCTCCGTGGCGGGATGGGTTCGAGTCACTTTAGGGCGCTCGCTATTTGCCCTTGGCAGGTATGGCCTGCGGCCGGTGGCAACGTTCGCGCTAAAGGCCAGTTGACTTCAGAGCGCAGACGAACCGTGCCGAGCATTGCGGCACGTAAAGCTTTCGCCACTAATTCTGCCCGTTGCCTGGGATTGCGCGATCGGACGGTGGGGGTCAGGGCTCACCAGGGAGCTAGAATCGCTTTTGAGCTAGGGTGAGGAGTGAAAATTACGCATAAAACATATAGGAGTGAAAAATTCACAAAAAACTCCATGAACTTTGAACAAGTTCATCAAGGATGACAGGAGGTCGCGTGCTACCGAGTTCTGTCGACCGGTCACACCATAAGTTCTGCCACCTAGCGGTAAAAGTAGCGAGTAAGCGGTGATGAATCTTTATAGATGACAGCACTTACTGCCACAACCAGCGCTATGCGTAATATGACTGTGGATGGCACATAAGTGGAAACCGCTGTGAAGCCACTCAAGACACTTTCCTGAAAAAAATATTTGGGCTCCATCATTTCTTGTATATCCCCCCACAACCTCAGCTGATTGGTGCGTACCCTAAAAGTAAATTTTGAATGCCTTCCTAATTCTGTCAAGGCATAAAAGCTTCCTATTAATATATTGCTTTGAGCTTTGCAGATGAGGAATGTGCGATGAAATTCAACCAGCATAAAACATTCAGACAACAAGAGTCTTGAACCCATGCACATAAACACATTGCCAAACCTTACAAGTAACATCTGACATACTTTTGGCTTCTGTTAGAATGGGATGAGGAAATATTATGTCACTGGTTCTCACAAAATTCAAATACCTACCATCACTTCCATGAAAGTAATGTAATTAAGCCTAACCTAGAGAAGTTTTACCTCATCTCTTCATGACTAACCCATTTATATAACAGCAGCGTTTGTGAGTTAATGATCCAGTAAAACTCCCATTGTTTCTTTCTGTGCAAGTAGCCATCTGAACCAAACTTAGGGTAGTCCATGTATTGAACATCATCTTATCATATCTGACTTATTTCCTGATAGCAGCCTTTGTGATAAAATCACAATACAGCTTGTTTTCAGCCAGTATCAACTCACATTCTGGTTCAATTAATTTCTACCAGCTTGTTGACACCACAAGTTGACACCAAACGAAACAAAACCTAGCAGCCAACTGAGAGGACAGGCCTATGTATAAATTATTTACATCACTCCTAACAAGTTATTCTGACTGCCATGGTTGCTCTCTGTCAAGGGCAATAGAAGGTGCTCAACAAAACAATCTGTCCTACAACTGTAGTATAACTTCAGGATGGCAGGCAGAACCAGTTTTGCTGCCCTGCCCTTTAAACTGCAGCAAAGGTAATAATTTAGGCTTGGCTTTCAATATTTAATCATCAAAAGCTTGAAATCTCGGCTTTACATTACAAAGGGGATGGTCTATTTGCTGACCACCTAGAGCTACCTTATACTGATGTAGTTATGCAGCTTAGGGTATTCTTGCCTAAAAATATTATTCATTCCACAGTACATTCATTTGCCCAGTCAGCAAACCATCACACAACATATCATCGCAACATCTTGTTGAGACAGACATGAGGGACCACTACAACAAACTTGGGACAAATGCTTACAAGTACGGGAAAAATAGCTTCATTACATGTATTGTGGAATCAAAATTTGCGTCATAAACAAGGTTTGATGGATATAAAACAGAAAATGGGCAAACCTGGTAACAAATCATGATTTGAAAGCAGGTCAAGTTCGCAAATAGGTGCCCCGCAAGGGAAAATTGCTGGCGGGCGGGCTTCTCTCTGCTCTCCCGAATAAAGCCAGTACCTTTCGCGTGGATTGCTGACAAATAAGACCATCCAACACAAACATAAAATATAATTGTCCGTCATACCCACCAACATACAACATTAAAATGCTAAATGAGAAAGATAACCCCTGCGCTACACCCATGAGGAAAATAAAGCTTCGCTGGGCGGAATTTCGATGGTAAACACTACTGGATCGGCCGCGCCAGTTCTGTCCAAAACCTTCGGGCTGCAAAATATTTTAACATGGTGAGGCATTGAAGCTCGATCGGCTTCAATTTATCATTGCTGAGCCCCGCGATGAACCAAAAAAGCATCAAAACAGATGTTTAATTAGGCAAAACTTCCATTACACCTAATTTATTTCCTTCAAATTGTCTCCTTCATTTGTTATGAATTGTTCGCTCGTGGGTGCATACGAAACGTGTTTGGGCGGCTGGCGAATAAACCCCCTATATGTGTTGAATATGTACAAGTTTGCAATTGTATAATTTTTCAGTGAAATTTGTTTATATTTTGGGCTATAGACCGCATCTACTTAAATCATTAACAAGGCAGGATTAAAGTATTTGTATCACCTCTACATTAGACCAAGAAAAACAGCAGGGGATGAATAAGCACAAAGGCTTAGAGTTGCTCGGCCACATTGTTTTATCAAGGCACTTGACTAAAAATCTGTCAAAATGAGTGCTCAAGTGGTGAGATTTTGCCTTTGAACTTCATTTAGAAGACCTTTCTTGAGTTTTTTCACGCCCACATTTCGTGAGCGGTGCAATTTAGTAGCCAAGTCTCTTTGGATTAAAAGATCGCGTGGAGTAAAATTCTCTACCAGGCCCTGCGTGGTGCTTGCACGGTATGACCCCAAAAAATAGGAATGCATGAAAACCCTGCATTTGGCACACAGCTGTACAGGTTGATAGTATTTTGTACACAAACCAAGATCAAGCGCAACCGGATTGAGTCGGTGGAACTCCCGGGCTTGGAGGTAACTACTGCCCTTGCTCTGTGCATATAGGCATGATTAAGATGTAGATGAGGCAGAATGTGGCCATAGGTGTCCAGGGTCTGTGGAGCCTTGCTTAGTGGAGCCCTTTATGCTTAGTGGTTTCAAGTGGGCTAGGACTTTGATGATATCTTAAAAACATGAGAAGAACATATAGGCTCAGTATGTGCGGTTAGACAATTTTAGGAAGGAGTGAAAAATGCACATATAACATTGGGAAAAGGAGTGAAAAATTGCTCCTCATAGGGTGTTGCTTTACACCCAAAGTCGGCAATTCTAGGACACTGGGGCTCACACAACAAGCACTGCTTAGCGCGAGCGCTGATACCAGAAATCCATCCATTCAAAGAGCTCGGATCAAATTTTAAAAATAAAAAGAAAGGGTGATTTTGATAGGTTAAGGCGTTGTGGTGGACGGCAATTCATGTGCTGCTGAATATTCAGATGCTTAAAATTCGAAATCGGTTGGCAGCTTCTGTGGTGATGTGGGTTCGCTGTCATTCGAACTCAATTTTGACCACGAATATCAGGTGGCATTAAATATGGACCTCAGATTTGGTGTTCTCGTGCCACAATTCACCCTTTGATGCGCTTTATTGAAATGGAAGTTATTCGCCAATTAAATCGGTAAATGCATCTTGTACTTCGCATGCATTTGTTAGAGCCCTGCTGGTTCTCCCGCGAAAAGTTCATATCGGTAAGAGCAAACGTTTCGCCAAACCAGTCTCACATATCTGTTTGTATCTAGCTATTCTATAACGTCTTTGGAGAGGGAAAACATCACGGTGGAATAGTTTCGCTTGGGAACGACCAGTCACAGATTTGTGTTAAGAAACGAAAGCCAGAGTGTGAATATCACTAGCACTTAATTTTAGAATAAATTGAGAAAATCCCTTCTCTGTGGACTTAACTCCGATAACACCAGTCCACCCCTGGTGTCTCGCACAGCTGACCGAGTCGTGCAGTTGACTTCGAATACCCAGTGTCATCCATCCGCCGTCACGCTTCTTTTACTGTCTACCTGAACCATCACCAGGAGTGTCACTTTGTGGAACTCTGGAGAGGCTGAGGCCCAATAATGGCTCTGAATAACCCCGACCGTTAATGGTTTTCTGAGCCCCAAATGCACATGAGCGAATAAGAAAATACTGGGCCTATGACTGCGCCGTTAATGGTTGTCTGAGCCCCAAATGCACATGAGCAAAGAAGAAAATACTGGGCCAATGACCCCGCCGTTAATGGTTCTCTGAGCCCCAAATGCACATGAAAAAAGAAGAAAATACTGGGCCAATGACCCCACCGTTGATGGTTGTCTGAGCCCCAAATGCACATGAGCAAAAAAAGACCATCTTTTGTTGGCTGACCATCCGATGGCGTCCACGGGGGCGCAGCACAGCCGGACGCGCTGTCAGCTGGAGTGAGGGGGGTGGTGTGAGTGGAGTGGCAGTCTGTTCATCAAGTGCGAGCTACACCTGACGCCCAGTCAACCAGTCAGTCAACCGCGCTGCAGGTGGAGCGGCACGTGTGCACGGCAGCAAGTAGCTCGGCACCACCCCTGCCATCTGTGTCGGTTGTCTATGCTGCAGGTGTGGTGATCCCTACGTCTGAAACCCATAATTGTTAGCAGAAAATGAATTACCGGAGCAAATATGGGAAGCGCGAGTCGTAGATAAGAGGTGCGTGTCATAGATGGAAGGTGCGTGTCGTAGATAAGAGGTGCATGTCGTAAATAGAAGGCGCGAGTCGTAGATAAGAGGTGCGTGTCGTAAATAGAAGGCGCGAGCCGTAGATAAGAGGGTGCGTGTCGTAAATAGAAGGTGCGAGTCGTAGATAAGGAGTGCGTGTCGTAAATAGAAGGCGCGAGTCGTAGATAAGAGGTGCGTGTCGTAAATAGAAGGCGCGAGTCGTAGATAAGAGGTGCGTGTCGTAAATAGAAGGCGCGAGTCGTAGATAATAGGTGCGTGTCATAAATAGAAGGCGCGAGTCGTAGATCAGAGGTGCGTGTCGCAGACGGAAGGCGCGTGTCGCAGATAAGAGGTGCGTGTTGTAGATGGAAAGCGCGAGTCGTAGCTGAATCCTCCTTCAACACGCAGACATCTAAATGTGTCCAAGGCTGCCTGGTGCGCGTGGGCTGAATTGATAAGTGGTTGTTTCTTTGTGGCATCCCTAGGTGAGGTTGGAAATATGCTTTCATTTTACTGGCTGTAGGCACAGATCGTTCAGAGAGGGCAAGGGCTTCCACTTACGCGGCTAATGTTTTAGGACGTCTTCCTGCTGCAATGGTCTTGTATTCAAAGGCCACGAGGAGGACTGTGTATATCGAATAAGTCATATGTTCTTTGGCTTACCTAGTAAGATCATGCCTGCAGTGACGATCAATGCCGTGGCCGATATCGCCGTCAATTTGAGGACTTTCCGCCACAGGAGCTTTTGGGTCAACGTGGGGTCGACTAGACCCTGGCTTTCATCCGCCGACCTGTTCAGAGACCAACCTGTTTGAGACAAATCTAGGCCCTCCTGCTGGAAATATCGTCGTTTATGTGTATAACATGGGAAACATCAATGGCCGCCCATAATTGGAGTATGACGCAGATAAGTGAAGGCCGGGAAGAGACATGGTCAATGTGCGTTGGTACCCGCTTTCCGTTGACATGTAATTGAGTAGCGAATCAGAGCAACGCTTGCCCCAACATTCAACAGCTGTGCCAACATTGTGATGCATTTTAGGCCGTGGCCTCCGACAACTGACCTGTGACCCGACAGCGTCCGGCCGTCATCGGTGACGTCGACTGCCGTAGCCTGGCGGCAGGAGGTGGCCGAGCCGAGCCTGGCGGACACGCACGCGGTGCGTGTGGCACCCTCGGGCGCCACGGACGCGCCCGAGTGCCGCTGCGAGTCGGTTGACGAGCGGCCCGAGTCAGTGCCGGCGCCGAGGAACGCCGCCGGCGTCGCCCGGCTTCGGTTGACGCTGGCCGCCGATGATGGGCTTTCTTCGCACGGGATGAGCTCCATACTAGCTGACGTGCCGGCCGACGAGCCGAGTGCCGACGAACTGGCGTTGCTGGCTGAAGCTGACGCTGGCGCGGTCGCCAGCGCCGGCGTCGGCCGGGCGTCGGAACCGGGCGCCGGACGGTCGGCCGGGCCGCGGGCGGACGGCGGACGATCGGGCGTGCTCGGATGACAGCCGTACGCCGCCGCCGGCCGGAGGGTGAGGCACCGCGGTGAACGGGAGTCGCCGGCTGTGCGACCCGGCGCCGGCTGGGCCGGACAGCCGTGTGAGGGGTGTGGCGCCGCCTGCACCGCGCCGCTCCGCAGCCGGTGCGTCGACAGGATTTGCGACAGGCGCTCCATAACGCTCGTGTGCGAGGCAGAGGCGGGACCCTTGGTCGTGCCGAACCGCTCGTACTCGTTGGTTACGGTCTGTGCCTTCATCTGCGCAAGCTCGGGGAACTTGGCCTTGTCCAGGACTGGCCGCGAGGATCGGTCCACCTGGTCCCAGTCGGCACCGTCCGCGCTCCGTCTCCTGGCCGCGCGCGGAGACTTCGCCTTCTTCGGCGGCTTAGCGGACAACATGGCCTCGATGACGTCGTCGATGGTCTCCACGTTACCGCTGTCGAAGAGAGAGCGGCCGGCGGCTGGGCCGGCGGCGGCGGCGCCTTCGGAGACGTCGCTGCGCACTGAGGACGCCTCCGTGCCGCTGCTGGAGTGCGCGCGCCGGCCGTCTGCCTCCCGAGACGTGGCCAGTGAGTCGACGCCGCTGTGCGGCCGTAGCGTGGCCTCATCGACGGGTGTTGGCTCGAAGCCGGTCTCCTGACTGCTGCCACGCGTGTTCACCCGCGGGTGGTACGGGTATGCGTCATCCTCGAACTCCGAGTCCGAGCTGGAGCCCTCGTCCGGTGGCACAGAATGTCCGCTCTCACTCCCGCTGGCGAGTCGCGGCGGCTCCAGGTGGCCGCTCCGCGGCAAGATCCGCTCCAGACCTTGCACCTCCTCCCAGCGCTCCAGCAGACTCTTGCGGCGCGGCTGCGGTTCCCTGGTGCCATGTCGGTTGTCGGGACTGGGAGACTGCTGGAACTTGCCGGCTCCGCGCTCGCCGGACGACCGGTCCGAGTCGCCGTTCGACATGCTCTCGCCGCTCTCGGCCACCGGCGGCAAATCATCCCCCAGGACAGAGCTGCGCTCGGTCCGCATCAGCGCCTGCTCCGAGCGGCTGTACGGTCTGGCCGGCTCGGTGAGCGCTTCATTCGTTGATAGTCTGTCGTTAACTGTGGCCTTGCTGGCTGAGAGGTGGCGGCGAATGGATGTGCGACGAAGGCTGCTGGTCCGTGCCGTCGGTATAGGAGAAGAGTTTCTCGTGTGCGAGATTTCTTCGGCCTTCCCAGCGGAGAGTTGGGAATATTTGGACAAGAACTGATCCACTGTCATCTCACCAGATAGATCGCTGCCAGCCACGCTGCTCGATCGCTCCTGAATAGGTGGAAATGAGTTGTTCATCGGCATGGTCGCATCGGCTCAATCAAACTGATATACAGTTAAGAGCATTCCTGTAAATTACAATGCGACTAGTTTGTCAAGATGATCGCATCATGATGAAACTACCACTGAGAGACATTAGGCATTAAGTGAAAGAGCTTGAATACGGATATGTATTGCCAGAGTATCTCCAGCTTGCGCCAAGTCAATATCAACCAAGGCCTTGTGTAAATAGTTGTGCCGCACGATTGCCGATTTCGTCGACTTTTTTCGTTTTTCTGCCCAACCCTCGTGCAAATGCCACGACGATGCTTTCTTTCATCGTGGTTCAAGATGAACATGTCTGACGGGGACTTGTACAAAATTGTTTTAAAGAGAATAGTAACACGATGTCTTTTTTGGGCGGTGCTGGGTTAGGAGTCCTCAAAAGAACATGGCTGGTGGGAGCAGTGAACACTGACCCTGCCTCCCATGCTGTCCGTATGCCACACGATCTGGAGCTGGATATTTCAAACAAGCAGCTGCAAGCCCCGGGGAAATTTGGATTTGATGCAGTCTCTTCCTCTTACTACCACCTTTTGGTGAGTTTTTTTCTCATCCCAGTGTGGTTTTAGTGCTCGTTGCGAGGCACATTAGCTGGTTTTGGGTGACCTGAATCCCTTAAACGCAAATGCTGAGAAGAATTTTCGTAACTTAATTTCTAAGGCAGAACGAGGATCTGAAGTTAACGACTGCCGAAACTATAGACGTAGGGGAGGCTGGTATTAACGCAAATTATATTCATTCTGTATCCAATTAACCAAATTTAGTAAGGGATTGCTATTTCAGATTGCTATGAGATCCTGTTTCGGGCCTGCTTCCTGTTGACCCTATTCCGGGCAGGTGGCGGATCTGGTCCCTCCCCTCTCCTTAGAACTCAGGAATTGCTGGGCCGATTATGCAAACCCAAATGATGATTGATTTCCCTGAACATTTTCATTCGCAAAATAAAATTTTAAAGAACTTTGAACAGGCTGCGGGTGGGGGTGGGGAAAATACACGGAAACAAGCATTGTACCCATAAACAGATGTGAGGTATTAATTCATCCGACATTGGTGTCACGTTTTTGACAGTACCAAGGTGGATCGATAGGCAATTATTTCCAAATTGCTTTGTCCCAAAAATATTTTAAAATTAGAATTTCCCGGCCATATGCAAGGAATGGAAATCATGGCGATTACAGAATCTTAGGAAATTGCGGTTTATGCGATTTGTCTTTGTACTAAATCGCGTGATCTTCTGTGAAATATTTTGATTTTGATTTTGCAGGTCCGGAAATCTTTGGCTCCAGTTTCGGAATGAGCTCCGTAATAACGGCATGCACATGTGCAATGATATGGATACAGAACAAGCTTTTATGGTAGTTCCTTCGTGTGGAAAATACGCCACACAAGGGTGAGAATCCCTTGCCTGCTTTCAAGTGGTAGCTCTGGACTTCGATCTATCCAATAAAGGTATAATTCTCCGAGAAAAAGTCCGTGACAAGGGTTTCCCATGCTCGTAAGTCGGGCGGGGAAAAGTGCAGCGGCATGCGCTGCAAGAATTCCAAAGTGCGTGCAATGTGCTTGTCTAGATGCCACGATTTCCCCTATGTCAGCAAGAAGACAGCGAGGAACGGCAAAGGCTGTTGGCCACACACTGGTAAACTTGTTGAAAAAGTTGCGCTTTTGAAAAGATTTCGTAAGGGCGGTTACCAGATTCATGCGTGGTGCACGCTCCGTTATTGTCTTTGGTCGTTGTTGGCATTTGGACACGATATGAGTACATTTTTTTTTCAAAAATACATTGGCAGTCTGTTTTTTCTACGACGGTTTGCGGAGTGAGCCAAATATGACTGCACTACTTCGCAGATGGAGATATAATTCTGTTTAAGCATGTCCATGGAATATTTTAGGTGCCACCCAATTCCTTGATACGTCCACGCCTTAAAATAGAGAAGAACCCTCGCCTCCTGCCCCCTGGTGTCTGCCAGGACAACCAGTCAGCCGCCTCCGGGTCTCAGACCCTGAGACTGCTACGTACTGGAGTCGGGCGTCGCATCCAGCCGGCAACGGTTGCCGGAACGAGTGTAACTATACGGATAAAAATATTAGGTAACTTGGTAAAAATAGCATAATATGTGCAAACGGACTCCTAAATAATATGAGGCCCCTGTTAAAAATGACCGACCTTCAATTTATCAGAAGGTACCGGTTATTACTTATATCAAGTAAATATAAATTTAAAGGTGATTGTGTATCAGTGATGGCTGAGAAACGCATGGTTCCCACTTCAGGAATGCAAACAGTTCTATCACATCAAGAGAAAGCACAGCGCACAATGTGCCAATTGACCATCTCACCCAAACGGCTACACAAACCATCATTTGCCAGGCTTAGTCCAGTTTTACCGACGACACCCCATGCGCATTTGATATTTTGTAGATGCAAAAAAGTGGCGCGTACTCGTCTGGTAAATAACGTTATGTTAATAATGACAGAAAACCCCTCCAACGTCGTGGGTATTTCAGATAAAGCTTAAAGCAATAAAGCTCTGCATTCAGATAGCGTAAGAAACGTATGCTACGAATATCGCATGACATGTCTGCATTACATAAAACGCCTGATATCTATCCTGAAATGTCGGATCGCACTAAAACGCTTACGACACACACACACACACACACACACACACACACACACACACACACACACACACACACACACACAACACACACACACACAACACACACACACACACACACACACACACACACACACACACACACACACACACACACACACCATGCGTTCTACTACTTCTTGCATAATCGCAGTGACGTGCTTGACGCTGAAATATAATGTTTATGACGTTTTATAATGACATGTTTAATGTTTTACAGCGTGTTATTTTAACATGTTGTAACATTTTATGATTATATCAGAACGACAAGTCTGACAAAAAAGCACTCTCTTAAATTGGTGGGTATTTTTTTTCTTGCAATTTAGGTCAATGGAACCACCCCAACAATGCGCAAGATGTGTTTTGTGCCGCTTCTGTGGGCATGCACAGTGGTCCCGGTGCTATAACATGTTAGCACTGGCAAAGGCTTAGAGACAGCAGATGCACACGCATCTGAGACAGCGGGAGACGGCTGCTGAGCAGAGGCGGTACATCCGCATCATGATACACGGGCCGAGGGCAGCGGCCGTTGCCATGAGGCATAGGCACGGCGCGTACCAACGCATCACATGCGGGACCCTTGCTGAGGGCAGCGGCGCGTACATACCGCACATGAGAAGCGGGGAGGCAGCCTTGCCTGAGGGCAGCGGCGCGGTACCAAACCGCACATGAGACAGCGGGGAGGCAGCCTTGCCTGAGGGCAGAGGCGCGGTACCACACCGCATCATGAGACACGCGGGGAGGGAGCCTTGCCTGAGAGCAGCGGCGCGGTACCATACCGCACCATGAGACAAGCGGGGAGGCAGCCTTCCTGAGGGCAGCGCGCGTACCACACATAGACGCGGGAGAGCTCTGATACCAGCGGAGGCGGGCGGCCTTGCCTGAGGCAGCGGCGCGGTACACACCGCATAATGAGACGGCGGGAGGGCAGCCTTGCCTGAGGGCAGCGGCGGCGGTACCATACCGCACCATGAGACAGCGGGGAGGCAGCCTTGCCTGAGGGCAGCGGCGGCGGTACCATACCGCACCATGAGACAGCGGGGAGGCAGCCTTGCCTGAGGGCAGCGGCGCCGAGGCATCCTGCGGAGCACCGTCGTGTGCGGCACGGCACGGTAACACCCGTCACTGGAGGGGGGGGGGGGGGGGGGTGGCAGACTGGTATCACGAGACTCCCTCATTACATGGGTCCTTATTGGCGCCGGTTGCATCAGTTTATGAAATATACAGGCCACTGTAAGTATAATTGTATAGCCGACTTAAGACAAGGAGGGACTTTATCTCAAAAATCGCAGGCTGGATCCAACCAAACATCACAGATCAAAGAAGAGGTGATGTCAAAGTTGGAGATACGGGAGTGCTATTTTCGTATTGACGCTCTATTCGTGGTGCGATATCCCAGCTGCGTTATTCGCCAGACGTGTTATGCCACTCCTGTTAGCGCAGCAGTTTGTATAATCACCAGAACATTACCTTCCAGGCATGGTCGCCAAATATCACTGAAGTTTTTCCAAATACCGGACCTTAGAGTCGCCTTTACTCAAACATATCCCGGTTTGGTTTACGCAATACGGAAAAAATGAAAGATCCTGAAAAAGTAAGAGCATTTCAATGGTCTGCTCTGAACGTTGTGGAGAGCCTAGCTAAAACCCGGAAGAGAGTGGGCGAAATCCGCCTGCTGCTCGTGGTGCGTGCAGGGCTGCGCTTCCTGACTTCATGGAACATGCCCACTGAGGTCGAAAGATAAGCATGCATGCAGCTAGCTAGGTTGCCCAATGTAGCGTGTCCGATGTGGGCTGCAAATACGTTCTTCTTGAACGCCTTTTGAATAGGTTATTTGCATTGACTGTTCTCGCTGAATTCACTCATGAAACTCCTTACAGGATATCATGCGTGTAGGTGTTTGATGCCGGTTGTTGTCTTTGTTTTGCTGTTTTTTTTTTTAATTGCCAGATTTATTTCGTGTTGATTATGTGCGCCCAGTTCATTTATCTTGTGCGCTTGATGATAACCGGCATGAGGTATATGCAAATCTTAAATACATTATAGATAATACTAATGATAAATAATGCCTAAAGGTACAGCATAAGCACACATGCAAACGCTACGCACAACACTTAAATCCAGCGGCAACCTTGCGATGTGGAATTCAGCGCATTATAAAGCTCAGTTGCTCATCTTGTTCGTCGATGCCTGGTTGACATCCGCCCGGCGATTTTCTTGGGACGCCAAACCATTGACAAGCCGCCAGCTGGCCTATCGCCTCTGCCGTGGCCGAAGCGTCATATTGCTGGTCACGGATTTAGTCAGCCTTTTCAAAATTTTAGTAAATTACAATGGTTCTTGGTGACTGTGGTGTGTCTTCTCGTGCCACGTTAAGTGATGCCGAACTAGTCCAGCGCATTACTGCAGGGTTTCTTTTTACCGGCAGCCAAAGCCGGCTTTGTCGCAGAAGAGCTATTCAATAAAGCATCGAGTGTACAATCAGCAAGGAGGTCTTATGCCACGAAAGCTGGCCTGTTGTGTCTCCACACCGTGGAAGGATACCAAACGACGAAAGCTGGCCAGTCGCACCTCTACGTCGCGAAAGGATTCCAAACCACTAGAGCTTGCAAGTCCACACTGCGGATCGGTGGCAAAGCCGTGAAAGCTGGCAACTTTGAAGTCGAAACTTTCCGTGTTTTGCATGCATCAAAACTTGGCAGTCACTAACTAAAATGCTAGGTACGCCGCAAAGATGTCTGGCGTTGAAACATAGTCCATTGTACATGCTTTCGTAAAGCACTTAGCGTTAAACTGGAGCTTCGCGATGCGTCATGAAATACCTGAAGGTTTATTAGCAAACACGTTGTGAAACATTGTCCATTTATTTCAGTAAAACGCAGTGCACCGCGAGCATCATATCGCTGATCAATAGGCAAAGAACGGATGTCAAATTCCGCGAGTTTAAACACAATGTAAACACAGGTTCCCAAGTACCATCTACCAGAGTAGCGATGCGGTTCCATATGCATTCATCATTCGGTAGGTTACAAGGACACATTTCAGCATCAGCAAGTCTGTGTCTTTGTTGTGCGAATGAATGCTACGATTGGAGGTGCACGGCTCGTGCAAAGCAAAAGCAGCAGCGCAATTCATACAGCATAACGTTGATAATAGTAATGCCAGAAGCGGCGGGCAACGTTATACGACGAGCGTTTATATAAGACTAGGGAAGCTCAATGGAATACGACCTTACACTTAGATTCTCTGCAACTTTGGTCGCCAATTTTAGCAGCACAGAATTAGGTTGCAGGCTGCTTTTTAACCAGAAAGCTGGGATGGTCCAACAGAAGGCAGCAACTAGGTGCGTTGTTGCATGTGGCTGGGCAAGGTCGACTGGTCCGCCGTCAGCGTCGGCCGAGCAGGGCCGGACGGCGGGCGCCGCGTGTGGCGGGAGTCGGCGGTCGGTCCGGTCCGGTCTGGTCCGGTCCGGTCTGGTCTGGTCCGGTCCGCTGCTGTGCTGGTACCGCCGTCAGTGGGAGGCGGAAGGGCCGGCCACCGCCGCTGCTCGCTGCGGACTGAGGTCGCGCCGCAGCAGCTGGTCGCGGGCCACCGGCCCCGCCACCGCCCCCTCCGGCAATGCCAGGCGCACGCCCCGACCTCCGGCACGCCGCGGCTGCTTCAGGTCCTCACGCTCGTCCAGGCCGTTCCACAGGCTCTTCAGCAGCAGGACCAGGCCCACCTCAGAGTTGGCCAGCTGGTCGGCCTGCGGGTGACGGGACAGAACCGTCGTCGGACTACAGACCCGGCAGCGGGCTCACAGGCGGCGACGCTGCGTTCGGTGTAACACGCGGCGCTAACGAACGCTCGGAGCTGAATTACGAGTGCATCGTCAATGCTCTGTGATTTGGCAAGAATGGGTTTGCATACGCCGCGGCTGCTGCTGATGAACCACTGACGCTTTCAATTTTAATCATGATTGGTTCTTAGGGCAGGACTGTTCCCCTCAAATCACGTAACTGAAGGCTTTGTAGGCTTTGAGAGTGGCATCGCCCGCTTACCAGCCACTGTGCCATCGGAGACTGGCTCAGCGAGCTCAGCAGTTTGGCGATGGCTCCATCCCCATTTTCGATGTAGTCACGAAGTGACCTGACCAACGACATCAGACTGCGTTCCAGTCCAGTTACCTGCAGAAACAGCGCGTTGGTCAGTCACCACCGTCCCAACTTGTCGCCCTCGCAGTGTCAGTGACGACGAAGAGCAACTTACTTAGCATTACCACTCCGAAGATTCCTGAACATTCATACATTCGTGCGATGTCAAAGCACCCAGCCGCTGTAAAGCTCAGAGGCAGTGGCGGGGCGTGTTGTACCAGCACCAGGCAACGACTGGCCCAGAACGGAGACGTACATCTGGTGTCCCTGTCCCGAGGGTAAGACACGCGGGAGAAGCGAGAGTGGGGACGACGCTCCTCACTCTTCCAGCCGCGACATCACAACCGTTCCTTCCTCTTCCCTCTCCCCAGACGCCTAAGACAAGCATGTCTTAGAACTAAACATCAGAACAGCCCTGGTGGCCCATCCGTAGGAGGCGGCACGTGGGAGCACCATGACCCGCTGCAGCGGACGGCACTGTGGCTTGGCGGCTCGGAATGGCTCTGTCAGGTTGGGGCGCGTGGCGCGCCGCCACCGGCCCGGCGTCCTGTGCCATGGGAGGGACGACCGGTGAAGGACAAGGTCGGAAGAGGGTCTGAGGGGGAGGGGCCTCTGCTGTCTCTCGGTTGTAGCTGGGGCCGTGGGGCGGCAGGGGCGCAGGAAATAGAGACTGCGCCGCAAAATGTGGCCGCTGGGGAGCTGAACTGAGCAGAGGCGCCAACAACCCACGGTGACAATGACTTCACGCCGGTCCCAGAGACCCGTCCGGCGCTCCTGCATCGACACGTGCGGTCCGCTCCGGAGAGAACACAGTGGCTGGACGCCCTGATCAAAGCGCTCCTGAGCCGCCGCCGCGGTGTTGGTGGCATGCTCATTGCAGCCGTCAGCAGCCTGCCACCGCCGGAAAAACGTGCGGTGGCGTGGCCGGACGGCCGAGCGCAGAGGGTGGTGTCCGTACACTGTGGCGTGGCCGGACAGCCAAGCGCAGGGGGTAGGACGGCCGAGCGCAGGGGGGGATGTCCGTACACGACCCGAGCGGGGCACCGGCCGCCACCTCACGGGGCATTTCGCAGCTCGAGAACGCTCGGGGTATACGCGTTAGTGTCGAGGTCGCCTGACGCCATGCTCTTTTGGATGAGCTGTTTGACGGCTTTGACTTCCGCCTCAGCGTGCTCATTGCGCCGGTGGTAGTGCGGCGTAGGCATCTCTTGGGTGACGCCCCACCGCCGGAAAGGAAGTCACGCGTGACGTATGGCGAGTACTGAGGCCTGCCGTCACTGCGGATCACGCTCAGAACACAAGTGCTCGCGAAGATATCGTGCAGCGCGCGAGCCAGTGCACGCGCGGTGGCCTTTCGGCGGCAGTCGGCTACTACCGGACTTTGCGTACACTCTACCTATTGGTGAGGAGCTCCAGTTCAATAGCCGCGTACCTGGACTCTATGCCCGACAAGAACCGAGACCCTCATAGCACTAGCTTTCACCCAGAGCCGTGAAACTGGAACAGAGCAAGCCGGAGCGCTGCGAGCCGCACTGCATCTGTGTGTGGTGCCATTGGCATCGTCGGATCGAAGAAGGCCAGGACCGGGGGCTTGACGAGCGTGTGTTTCACGTCTGCGAGGGCCTGATCACGGACGACAGTCCACTCCCATACGCGGGCCAGCTTGAGCAGGTCACGAAGGAGCTCCGCTGCTTTGCCCGTTTGAGCCGAGAAGGCTCCGAGCTCGTTGGCCAAACCGCGAAGGCACTCCTCAGGCCAGTGATGCTTGCTAGCGCCGGGAAGTCAGCAAACACCCAGCTTGCACTGGTCCGGGGTAAAGCCGCATTTTCGGTGGTGAAGCCGCAGTAATTCATTCCGTGAACACCATCTTCTCTGGGTTCAGAGTGATTCCGTGGGCACCGCAGCGTTGCAGGATCTCGGTGACCTGCTGCAGATGAGGGACGTACGTCTAGTTGCGCGCGAGGACCCCATTCACAATCTTGCGTTGTTCTAGATTTGGTCCTCGTTAGCGACAAGTATCTGAAAGTGGCCGGATTTGACGTCCATCTTGGTGAAGTACCGCGACACTCTGATGATCCCAGACACGGCATCATGTGAAGTGCATACCGGATGGGCACCTCTGCATACAAATCAGTTAAACATTGTTAGGCCCACACACAGGCGAACCGAAAGCCCAGCATCGGTGTCGGCGGCTGGACGGTTAGTGACCAGCATCATGGAGTGGTAGCGGTCCGTGGGGTACGTGGAGTCACCTGGACGATTATCCCTTTATCGGCCAGGTCGTCCATCTGGCTTTTGGTTTCATTTTCCGTCATGCATGGGGTATGACGCAGCCGGCTGTCGCGACGCATGGCTGCGTGTCGGCAGTCAGCTCGACCAGTATGGGACCGCCTGCTGTTCCCCGAACGGTGCCACCGGAAGCACGGCCTATAGGGTCGCCAGCTGTTCGGCCCGGATCTCCGGAGAAGGGTCGGGACCGTCTGCCGGCCACGTGGGACGCAGCGGCGCACGCGGGTCGACCGTGCGAGCCGTCCGCGTCGGCGAAGTGGTGGCCTGCTGAGCGGGCGCGGCGAGGAACGATTCGGCCCCGGTGGCTACGGGCGGCGACGCGCCCGGGCCGGCCGCGTCAGGCGCCTGGGCCAACAAGGTGTCGGACGACCTGGTGCCGACGAAGACGGGCGGCGACGAAGCACGGGCTGGTCCATAGCCCCCGCCGTGATGAAGCGGGCTATAAACACTCTAGATTTGTTGCGGGAATCCTGCGGGCAGGATGGCCAGCGCAACACAGTCTGTCCACGACAGAAGGGTGCTTCTGTCGAAGTCGTTGGCGACCACGGTCCGAGTAAACGTGGACTTCGCGCCGAGCTGCAGGTCGCACCAGAACGTGCCGAGGCCGGCCAACGGATGAGCGCCGGCGGCGAAATCCGGTCGGCAGTGGACGACAAGCCTCTGATGTCGACGCCGAGTCGCGTAGCCGCCTTCGGTCCGATCACTGAACTGAGCGGCCGAGTCCGGCGCCCACGGCAGCTAGCCGTGGACCTGGCCGAGGGCCGCCCGGGCGTGCACGCGTGGTGCCGGCCGGGCCGAGACGCTCTGTAGGCGTCTGCCCGAGGCTAACATCTGACCGGGGCTCGGACAGCGCATGGACTGCTGTGTATAACCGCTCTTTCGGGCACTGCGACTCCGCGTGGTGCTGGTCTGGTGCCGTCGGCCACCGGGGAGTTGCGACGGAACAGCTGCTCGACGTAACCGCGCTGGTCGCACTTCTAACAGCTGTAGCGCCGGGCTGGGCATGACTGAAGCTGCTCGGGTGTGTGCCAGTCGCCGCCGCATCTTCCACAGAGCTTAGATGGGGCTCTCTCGGAGCTCACTGACTGCGCGCGCCACGAAAAGCCGACACGGATTAGATGAGGCCTCCCCGCAGCATGGCCTCACAGTCCAGCTAAGAGTCTTCACACGCCTGACAGATGTCTTCGCACTGCAGCAGCCTCAGCTCGAGCTCACTGAGGAGAGCGTGCATCGTCTCTTCGTCGCGCACGCCCACGACAAGCCGGTCACGGTGTAAGCGTGCCAACACAATGAGGGCACAGGCTGCAAAACTTTGCTGGCTGAATGGCCTTTGCAGACTGGTGAAAAGTCAACAGTGATTGCTATTGGCTTACTGGTGCATATAGAACCCCCGCCTGTCCAGTAGCACGCAGCGCTGACGGCTGGGATGGCTTGCTATGGCCGTGATCACAGCCTGGACGTCGCTGTTTGCCGGAAGGTCCAGGCTGAACGTGGCAGTCCGCACCCACCCGTCGTCCAGCAGGCTGTACAGCGAGATGCGGGCTCGTTGACGGGCAGAAGACTGAGCTTGGTGGGCTTGACGAAGCCCTGGACTTTGGCTTCCTAAGTCGTGAACTCCAGCAGGCTGGCGTGGGCTGTCAGGAGCGACGGGACGGGGCCAGACATCCGTGGCTTGGCTGGCGTGGGCCGTCAGAAGCGGCGGGACGGGGCCAGACATCCGTAGCTTGACTGGCGTGGGCCATCAGGAGCGAAGGGACGGCGGATATCCGTGGCTTGGCTGGCGTGGGCCGTCAGAAGCGGCGGGACGGAGTCAGACATCTGTGGCTTGGCTGGCGTGGGCAGTCAGGAGCGGCGGGACGGGGGCGGGTATCCGTGGCTTGGCTGGCGTGGGCCGTCAGGAGCGACGGGACGGGGCCAGACATCCGTGGCTTGACTGGCGTGGGCCGTCAGGAGCGGAGGGACGGGGCCAGACATCCGTGGCTTGGCTGGCGTGGACCTTCAGGAGCGGCGGGACGGAGCCAGACATCCGCGGCCTGGCTGGCGTCGGCCGTCAGGGGCGGTGGGACGAGGGTGGGATCCGTGGCTTGGCCGACGCGGAGTCAGAAGCCGTCCGCGCTTGGCCGCCGAGGCAGGTGTCGAGGCGCCTGGCGCATCCTGCTCGGATGGTGGACCAGGTGGGTGCAGCTGCAGGCTCTGTAGCCTCTGCATGGCCTGCGCGAATGTCTCCGCCAGCCGCTCCTCGCGCTCTTGGGCTTCGGTGGCTTGAACGCGCACCTGTTCGGGCAGGCTGTCCAGAGCAGTCCGCACGGCAGGGTGCCTGGCCGAAGCTGGAGGCGTAGCGCCTTTCACGGAAACGGCCGTGTCAATGGTCATTCATAATTTCACCGGGGCCGAGTCGCTCACCAGTTTTATCTACCGTGCCATGTTCAGAGACGGTGGCGAAACTTGTTTTCTGCATTAGCATCCGGTGCCGACTGGCCCGGGACGGCGACGCACATCTGGTGTCTCCGATCCGAGGGGTAAGACACCCGAGAGAGGCCGGGGCGGGAAAGACCCCCCCCCCCCCCCACTCCATCAGCCGCCACACCATCGCCACCAGTCATCCGGTCGCCTCCAATCCTTGCATTTCAAGCTTCAGATAACGCATAGTCTCCGATTCGATGCTTTGCTTGCATTGCTCAAGCAAGACATCACCCGCCATAAAGCTTAACCCTTCTATTTGCCGCTACATCGTCAGCGATATGTACAACAGGCTTCTGTCTAAGCGCGGATGCAGTTTTACAATATGTATAGATGCAGCTGAGCGAAAAGACCACTCGAGCGTACTTGACGCTGTTACTCTCCCACAACTTGACCTGCTTCATTTTCATGGTTGAAGTTGAAGTCCCTGCCCCAACGTTATCTCAGAGCGGGTGGGCTGAGCTGGGTCTGTGTTCCGTACGTGTCCCGTAACTTGACCTGCTTCATTTTCATGGTTGAAGTTGAAGTCCTGCCTCAGCGTTATCTCAGAGAGGGTGGGCTGAGCCGGGTCTGTGTTCCGTACGTGTGCGTCGGCGTCGAACGGAGGACAAGGTCAGCGATTTTTACATGTGTCTCTTAGGAAGACCGCGCCAAATTAGCTAGGTTTCACAGCAGCGCATTTGTTATGAGTTTCTCGTCACGATAAAAAGACGAATGTAAAAAGTTGTTGCATGTTATTCGTTGGAAACGAAAACGATAAAATTGGCCGCATGCGACATTACACATGAGTTTCTCTAGCTACTACATATATAAAACACACATGTAAGCTGAAGATGTCATGCCTTTCGCCCCCTACCAGCCAAAATACAAGGAGCAGCAAATCTCTTGCCCTTACCGCAAATAAACGAGAGCGGACTTTGGTTGCTAAGCAATAAACACTGCGTATGTGGTAAACATTTCCCATTACAGCAGATATGCAAAACATTTGAGTCCTATCCAGCTTTAAGAATGCATTCAGCAGTGCGCGACAATACGATGGGTGATGAGATGAGATACCACCGCAAGCACACTGCAAACCACAACCTGTCCACAGCCAGTCGGTAACTTCACCGTGCGCGACGTCCTTCATACCATAGCAAGAGGCGTCACGGGCGCCATCGTCGATGTGTACAATCCAAGTAGCGCTAAGTCAGCACATCTACAACAGATGGCGCTACAGTCGCTACACATACCGCGATCAGTGTCCTAAACGGTACTATAGTACAGACGGTGCGCCGTCGGGACCTACACCACAAGCGGTGCCAAAGTTGGTATGCACACCACAGATGGCACAACAGTCGGTACGTAAACCACAGATGCCACCACAGTCGGTACCCGTGCCGCGAGCGGCGCCGGAGTGGGTACCTATGCGACAGGCGGATGACGGTCGCCACCTTTATCACAGGGTGCACTTGAGCCACGCGGCCGTTCAGGACTCCACGTAATCGGGTGGCGTGCCCCAGAAGTACATGAAGAGGGTGATCGATGCCAGCACCCAGCCCACCACGGGCAGCCACAGGCAGACCATGGTCAGCGCTGTCGCCAGCTGACTTACTTTGAAGACGGCGTAGTACCAGTACTCGACGGCTATGATGACGAGACCCAGCCAGGTGTAGAAGCAGTAGGCGGCCGTGTCACGTGCCCACTCCACCCAGCCGGCCACCTCGTTCAGCACTGCCATCAGGTTGCCGATGTTCCAGTTGATGACCTGGAGGAGTGATGAAGGCGTCAGCGGGCACTATGCTGAGCCGACCTGGATGTGGCGGATATCATCGCACGCATGTAAAGAGTCACACTATCTCGGTTGGAGCCCGGCCCATTTCGTGATGTCACTGGGTGATGACGCCGGTTTCTAGTGCTCGAGGGATATTGCACAGAACAGTGATAATCTGAGAGATGATGGTGAGCCTGGGCAAAACCGATGAGAATGTACGAGGGTACGCAACAATGCACAGCAAGCGACCGAAGACGGGATGGTACGGTGCAGATTGGTTAATGCTGCGATGCCATTGTTATCCAGGCGAAATGTGATGTAGAGTCGAGGAAATCCTGCAGACTGATGAAATAGAATTGAGATTGGGCGCGAAATGTCAGCTTTGCTCGGTGAACATTGATCTATCGTCAATGGTCTCCGAAGCTAAAGCTAAAAAGTCGACCCTCAATAAAAAGGCTGACAAGGTAAAGTGCCGATCCACCACCCGACGTGTTTGCTTCTGCAAAAATCGAACCGCTCGTGTATGAAGGCATCAAGTCATTGCGGCAGCCTGGGCCAGTCTGAGTCAACAGAACGTCGGTTGCTGGCCGCGGATTTTGCTGACTAGACGTCCTAACGTCGTTTTTAGCAGGCGCACATCTGCCCCATACCAGCCATCCGAATACGTCGTATGTAAGCTCAATGAGGCACGGCCGATATACAAAGACACTCGTTCCAGGGACTGCTGGAATAATTTTCCTCAAATATTGCCATGATGCCATTTAGCTCATTATCCAGGTAGGTATGTTTTTCTGCTCCCATTTTTTCGACATTAATACGCGTCGAAATTGTAAGACAATAAATATCATAATCTGTATACCCTTAAAATGTACAGGAAGGAGTGTGCGAGGTTAAGGCGTGCACCTTAATGCCCGCATTTCTTGCGTACATACGCGTACATGCGTGCGGCCTGTGACGAGAGGCGTGTTGCCTGTTACCTCCGGTCTGGGCCCACGCGCTCACGGGTCGTGTTCTGGCCAGCAACCCACCGCCCATGTGATGCGCGACGGTATGGAGAAAATCTGCTGGATCGTCTCTGACGGGTGCGAGACAAACTGCAGCGGCAGGTACACGTAGGTCATCAGCAGCAGCGTCACCCACTGGCCCACCAGACCCTTCTTGTCAAAATCTGACAAAAGAATTCAGCACTGTGAGCGCGTGCGCCGCGCCATAGCTGAATGATGGGTGAACTGGTGGTGAAATTGAATAAGGCTACAACTCCACGGTCGGTACGCGCCAGATAATGTGAACTTTCACAAGACACTGCCTAAGTCATCTGGCAACGGACGGTAGAGACTCAACTGATAAGGAAAAGCGGTTCAAAGCACGGCGCACGTATAGACCAGCTTCCTATTTGTAGCTGCAAAATGACATTTTACGTGGAATATACCTAATGCATGCAACCAGACATAGGCGTGGATCCCATAGCATGGATCGGAAAAATGAACCTCGCGAGTTCGGTTCTGAGTCTCAGATCACACATTCTGAAGGATTCAGGATCCGTTTTGAAATATTGCCCATAGCTCTCTAGACTTTACGCATCCTTGTGAGTCACGTACTATATTATTAAATATTGTTTACAGTAAACAAACGCTCTAGGCCTTCCCATCGTGCCACGACCTGCCGTCCGTGCTTACCTCTAGCGGCCTCTCTAAGCGGCGGGAAGACGCTGACGAAGCGGTCCGCCACGCCCTCGAGCACGCCGTGCGCCGCTGCCAGACACAGGCTGAGCGGCAGGAACACCAGAGTCGCCAGCAGCTCGCCGTCCACGGCCAGCGGCTGAAACGCGGACAGCCATAGGTTTTGGGAGACAGAAACAAGATCGGACACGGACTGGCCGGCTGAAACACACCCAAGCAGGCGCTGAAAGGTTGAGGCATTGTCTGGCATGGGCCGCTTTGCTGAAGCTGCGAGCTAACACAGGCCTTGCAGCTGAGTCCACGGCGGAACAGATGCTGATCGACTGGAACAAGGGCAGGCGCCGATGTGCGGCTAGCCACAGACGGAGGACCTGTCGTGGGGTCCGTCACCCACTGAGGGAATGGAACCCGACCGGACACTGATATCACGTGGAACGGCTGGCTTCCGAGACAGATCCGCTGGGGGCTGATGACTGCTTCTCACCTGGTGCTTCTCCACCAGCCGAGGCACGGCCGCCTCCAGCAGGCGGGCACCCTTGCTGGTGAAGTGGTCGGCAATCTTCAGCGGCGTGCGGGCGAAAGGCGAGCGGGCGATGGGCAGCACCAACAGACGGCAGTACATACTCAGCAGCACCTCGCTGAACGTCAGCAGCATTCGCAGCGAGTCGCTCCGCTTCTGTCAGCCGAAACAGGCCAATCAGAAGCGTGCGCGGCGGGCACATGTGCCAACGGCGTGACGCGGGTCTTACGGGTGACCGCAGACGGCGAGACGAGATCAGGTACACGTTAGCGTACTGTGTCGGGCATGGCAGCGTAGAAATGGTGGAACCACGTGCCTGGGTTGAAGCAGATCCACATATCTTACCACGTGTTTATGGGTACACACACCGTGTAATTTTCATTAATAGTCGTGATTCGCATTCCATGCATAATCACATCAAAGTAGATCTCTGGTAAGGCATGCCTGAATTGCAGGATTTTCTAGTCCAGTGGGCATGGCAGCGTAGAAATGGTGGAACCACGTGCCTGGTTTGAAGTAGATCCACATATCTTACCACGTGTTTATGGGTACACACACCGTGTAATTTTCATTAATAGTCGTGATTCGCATTCCATGCATAATCACATCACAGTAGATCTCTGGTAAGGCATGCCTGAATTGCAGGATTTTCTAGTCCAGTGGGCATGGCAGCGTAGAAATGGTGGAACCACGTGCCTGGGTTGAAGTAGATCCACATATCCTACCACGTGTTTATTATCATGGGTACATAACAGCCGTGTAATTTCCATTAATAGTCGTGATTCGCATTCCATGCATAATCACATCACAGTAGATCTCTGGTAAGGCATGCCTGAATTGCAGGATTTTCTAGTCCAGTGTATCATGATTTCGATAATCGCACATATACTTGACTGAAGTTCAAAACGCTGATATAATTGTGGACTGGGTTGAAAATGATCGTTTTAAGTCAAATTCAAATTGTATTTGTGTTTAAACACACCTGTCGGTGTCCATAGGAGTGCCGAAGATAGGCGATAACGAGCTGAATGGGTCGAACAAAAAAATTTAAGTATCCAGTCAAACCTTTTTGCTTTGCTTTTTAGAATGTCGGTAAAAAAATGCTGGTGGTGATTATTTGCAACAATCATTTTACGAGGTCATAGAACTGGCGCCTTTTTCGAGCCCGGTGTTATAATGGTACTGCAAACAGCCCACACCGGCCAGATAGCACTGGTTCAGCAGTGCCCACAGCGCTGGCAACCGGTGACTGCGCACTTAGCATTGAGTGGCATTGGTTTACTTTGTCGCCATTGACAGATTTAGCTCATATTTAACGTCAGCATCTGTTTGTTTGTAACGTTAATATAGGCTATAAATGGGCTATTTAAGTCTGACGCAGCCCAGGCCACATCACTTGCTTTTAGTAAGGTTGTATTATGCTGGGTAGCATTGGTCAGATTTCGTAATAAACACTATGCTCGCGCATTTAACATCAAATGGGGCTCAATTCCAAATGACATGTGAATGACATGAAGACTGAATTAAAAAAGATAATTTTGTCATGATATTCCAGTCTTCTTAACCAGAACATTTCGATATTACTCGATATTTCAGTGTGCATGTATTACAGTCCAATCATGCTCTGTTTCAATATGGGACGCTCAAACTTATCCGGTGTGTTTTTCATTGAGCTACTTTGCATTTTTGAGCGTCTATCTCTGGGGATATTTCTTGTTTTCAGGTTTTCATTGCTTTTATGTTTGCATTTCGGCTCAGTTGTATTCGATATATTTCCATGTGCTGTATTATTTTTCTCTACAATCTGTTCACAAGCCTTATAGGTGTGCAAGCAATTCCGTGCGAATATTGCTGCTTCATGAAAGATCCCAAAATCACATCATGTATCCCGACATAATTTCACGTGACTCAACGAGCTTTGGTTAAGGTAGAGATAAACGGTGATGAAGATGTTTGACGTTATTAAACAAAGAACATGCACATCAATGGTGTGAAGCCGTGTTGCATTCAGAAACGTTTGCCAAATGACGACTTTTCGTCAGTTTAAATCTAATGTCGACATCCACCAAGACATCCACCAACACGAAGGCGCTCTACATATCCACCGGACTCCGGCTGGTGTCCGTCAACTCCTCCAGTAACGAGACGACTTGGAAACAGTGCGTTAGCCCTATGGACTCTAGTATGAACCTTGGCCTATGACCCGTCGACGGCTTGGGGTGGCGGCGCGTGGCAACATCAGCCACTGGGCGATAAACAGGTCGGCTCCACGCGCCGCCTGCGTGTCGGAGCAGCCGGCCGCGTCGGCGCACGCACGGCTGCCGGACTCGGGACGCGCATCCCCCGATGAGTCACCAGATGAATCGCCACTGAGTCATCCGGCATATGCCGCCAGCGGTTGACATTCCCTCTGTGTACTTCCAATGACAGCAGCTGATCTTCACACAGCTTCTTCAAACACATCCAACAGATTGCGATTCAGATTCAGATGTGTTTTCGGCAAGGGCAAGGGACCCAACCAAAGCTTTTCACCACGTTGACGCGTTAAGGAGAAATAAGCGTGAGCATTCGCAACATGATCTGTGTCAGGCGTCTTCCAGTCACAGTACGATCGGACCCGACATGAATCACATCATCCTCCTTTGAATGTCGCGCGAGGCCGTCCAGCGCCCGTGGGCCCTCCGAGTCGTTCGATGGCAATCACCAATGTCTCGAGATGTGTATGCGCTATTTGCCCCACGATTCTGACAAACCGACGACGCAGGAACCAGGCGTTGACCACTTTTGCAGTGAGAGCCCAAAAAAGCATGCATCATTTCTCAAATTTTTATAACGGACGGTAGATGAAGACAAACTACTGTGGCTTCGGATATTTCCAGTTAATAATACACAATGCTGCCAGTGAATCGATAAACATCCTGCGATTTGATACTAGTACCTTCATCCTCTGGAGGAAGTTAGTGGCCGGGTCACCGCCTCTGCCAGACATCTGCAGCTGTGCCGGCTTCCCTCCTGATCAGGGCGCTTACGAGACAATGTGCAAGTTGTAGGGAACTGTGACCGCAAACAGTCGCGGCCTTCCTCGAGCCCACAAAAGCCCGGCATTCAGAGAGGCTTCTCACAACTGCACCAGAGTGGTTTCTTCGTAACCGGCCACGATTGTCCACTGCAGAAATGCAAAAGGCATCAACCCGGTCCGCCTCCGTTATAGCACACACGCATAGAAGCCGGTAACAAATAGCTGTCACTTCTGATGCCGTGGGTGTTCGAATCGTCCCAGGTTTTATCAGCAACGCGAATGACGACTCGAGACTAACTAGGTCAACGGAGAAATGAAAGACGTTGACGAACGAGATACGCCCATACCAAGGGTTAGACTGTCCAGGGTATGAGTCACCAGACCATGCCCGTCACAAGCCTGAGCCTTTTCTGCTCCAAGCTTCCTCGTCGCAGGATAGCGTAGCTTGAATGTTCTCGGGGCATTCGGTATGTGCGTTTGCGTATGCATGAATATGTGCACCGGTAAGAGCAGTAGCAGCAGCAGAGGGTGCAGATAGCTATCCGTACTCCGACATGGTGGCAATTCCAGGAAAGAGAGGAGACCATTCCACCAGCATCCTCCCGGTCGGATCGGTTTTTTAAAACAACAAATTTGGAGAAATATCAGTCATTGCCTCCTCTGAATATTTAATAATTGCAATGCAGGTTTTCTGAGTTTGAATCTAAATGTTACCAAACCTTTCACGCGTGATTTAATACATCATGGTAAAACATGTCGATTAACCTCTCGTTGACACCATATGAGTGGCAATTTTTCTGAGCAGTAGCATGGTAGCACTTGTTTTCAAAGGCCAACGCACACAAACATAGCATACTAAGTGACTTTGGATGCACTTGTAAGACATGCATGCGTACTAGCACTGAACATAGGTTACCACCTTATAAATATATGTCTACAACATAACACAGGACGCTTCGCTTTTCCATGTTTTGTCTCGTATATATGTGATTGCAACGACCTTGTAATTCTGTGCTCGGAATGGTGTTGTCGGATTGGTTTATGTCGTATTGAATGTAATAGCCTGTGAGAAGAGAGTAGCCGTTTAAATGGCATGTTCCACGTTTGAAGATACTAATGCAAGCATCAGATATGACGAAAGAAGCTAACTTATTAACTATTCGTATACTATTCGAGTAGTGAGGCTGACCTAGACACTCTCCCTGCTTGACAAATATGCTCCTTGATACATCATTGTTTGATTACGCCATCGGATCTTGGGCAAGATTGATTACAAGCACATTAGCGACAGTTATATCTGAAAATCGCGATCGCGAACGCCAGATATCAACGACTGGCGAATTTTTGTCTTGACCTTGATAACCGCACGATCAATGAACTGGCAGGATTTAAATAACATTATTATAGTGTCGTAGATGACTGGGCGATCTTGAAATAGTCTCTCCAAAACAGTCTGCACATATTTCCGGGCTGTTGCTCAGAAACTAGAAGGGCTTAAGTATCTAGAAGAGCAGGGCTGTGAAATGTACCAAATGATCTTCAAGACGGTTCTTTCAATTCAAAATCCAAGGCAAATGTGGAACATTTTCTTTAAGTCTGGAGCAGTCAGACTTGGTTTATCAAAACCTATTTAAATTGATCTGCTACCTTGTTGTACCTAACGAGCCGAATATTGAGATCGGCAAACCGAGTCAAGTCCGGGGCATCCCAGATTAGTTGTGAAAGGCGTTCTTCGGGTTCATCTATGGAGTTCGCAATAAAACTCATCACTGAGAAGAAAGACCTTTCATTTTCCCTGAACAAATTTTTGTATCATAATGGAGCACTGTCGTTTTCCGAATGTTGCCAACAGGTGCATTTCTGTAAATTTGCAGTGAAAATAACGTAACGATATCTTATTTCCGAACAATTTTTGCCCAGCCGTTCACACAAGTGAGTAATTTTCAGGGACAAGATCTACCCGCGTAACACACGAATGATCTCACCCCCTCATTTGGCCCAGTGCCCACCTGGTGCGTGCTCAGTTGGCGGGAGTGCCCATTCCTCGGATAAACTCTGTTGACGGGAGTACGCTGGTCGGTTTGTGCACCTCTCTGGGGTGTTCCCTCGGATGCGTTCAGTTGGTGGAAGTGCACAACGCTCGGATGTGGTCAGTTGGTGGAGGTGCACTTCCCTTCCCCCACTCTACCTGGCTGTGTTCGGTCGCCTGGGATGGCATACTCTCGATGCGTTCTGTGTACCCTCGTTGCGTTCTCGATGCAGAAATGAACGGCCGGCAGCGTGTATCGTGCCGGCCGGAAAGGACAGACGACGGGCATGTGCACCCTGCACTTACTGAAGTGAGCAGCCGGCCGGCCGGTGTGAGCGGCCTCACATCTCACCTTGGTCGAGTGGTAGTAGGTGAGCAGGTCGGCAGTGGTATTGGTGACCAGGGGCCAGCTGGCTGCCCGCTCCACCGTCTGGTACCGGAGTGCCTCCCGCAGCAGCTGGTCGGCCTCGGACTGCGGTGCGGCCCGTCCCGGCGTCGGGCCCACTCGGCTCTGGCTGGCCATCTCTGCCAGACGCCGGAACGTACCGTCAACAGAGCCACGTGTCTATAAACCTCCTGTTTCAGTTGAAGCCACCTGGCCATCTGCATTGCCCAGTAGAGCGATCACAGTTTCACATATTTATGATGCTCATACCCCATATACTGTTAAGTCATAGCCTCATGCACTTGAACGCCGCGTTTCAGGCCCTAAAACTGATGCCGAGCACCGGGGTTGTGTGTGGTGTGTGTGTGTGTGTGTGTGTGTGTGTGTGTGTGTGTGTGTGTGTGTGTGTGTGTGTGTGTGTGTGTGTGTGTGTGTGTGTGTGTGTGTGCGTGTGTGCGTGTGTGCGTGTGTGCGTGTATGCGTGTGCGTATGCGTGTGCGTGCGCGTGTGCGTATATGCGCGTCGGTGTGCGTGTGCGTGTGCGTGCGCTCTGGTTTCCCAGCCGACCAGTGGTTAACGCAGATGAGTTAACCACAACACTACCGGGACCCTTGAGCACCGAGAGGATGACGAGCTCCATCCAGCAGGTGCACTTTAGACGCGTGATTGAGCAGAAGGAACACAACAATGCTGGTTGATATTCAACGTGAACACCCCACAAACAAGCTGTTTAAAAGCGATCTCCTAACGATGGTAGTGGATAACTGGAGGGAGAAATTAAACGCTGGGATCCAGCAGCAAGCTTGAACCAGCAGTTCATCGGTGCCAATACAGGAGTCATCGTTCCGCTCGTGCCTGATGCGGGATAAGTGCCTGGGGACGGCTGTCCGGAGATGCTCGCTGAAGACAAGATATTGTAACGTAAGCCAAGGATCAAGTAAAAACAATCGGAGCTTTCACAGATGTAAAAGGTACCGCGTACACATTTAAACTGTTAATGAAAAAGCTAAAACTGTGTGATAGAACCAAGGATGTTCTTGCGCACTAATTCATGACGACTGGTCACTTACCAGAAACCAATTCGAGGCTAGTCGCGGACAGCGAACGAAGGCATACTAGCGCCAGTGGCCAAGGAAGGCCGTCGACTGATAGCAAAGGAGCAGAACAATAGCTGATAACTATGAGTCGGTGGCGCACACTCACTATGGGTCGGTGGCGCATACTCACTCTGTGTCGGCACACGCAGGAAGCTGGCGAGATGTGCGTGGCCGGGCTGGGCCGCTGGCGTGGAGCGAATGACCGGCGCCGGGCGGCGGCCGCCGGCTCACCTCCGGGCGGACCAGGGGCGACCGCAGGCCCGCGCCGGGGTCGGTACCATGGACGACACCGGGCTGGGAACGTGTAACGCACGCGGCGCTCCAGTCACCACATGAAAGGATAACTCAACAAAGCTTTGGATAACGGCAGTGTGGGCGTGAACGGCAGTCCGGTAGCGTGGACGCTCGAGCCCCGTGAGGTAAGTTTTTGATGACCCAGTTCACGAAGTGTTTTTCACCGCAAGGGATTTAGCTGGCCGCAGTCTTCCAGAATAGTACCAAAAGCCTGCAAAAAGTGGATGTGTGTTCATTCTTTCTCTGTGCCACGCTCAGGTACCGCGGACAGTCGGCGGGCCCAACATACTACACTACATCTCAAGGAAAGTTCGCCTTTTTTGTTTGGAAGACAATGAGTGGCAGTGCCTTGCGGCCCCGGCTAGCTCGCAAAGCATCATAGATATTCGTCAGTCAAACATTCTCCTCTCCCTCTCGGAGTGAGGGACTACGCAGCTCCCTGTTATATCGAAGGCTAAACCTGATGTGGCCAAGCGGAAAGTGGCATCGGCTTATTGCTGAAAACCATATCGGAGTTGTCTCATTGGAAGTCACCGCAGGTGACCTTTCACTTAAGGACAAATTAAATTCCTATTTTGGAAATGATGCATCATTCAGCGTAATAGAAAAAAGTACCGCTTAGTTCTTAGCAAGCTGGCTTGTCAGAAAAAGCAGACCATCAGCGGGCGTGACCTGTGGCATGTCAGATCAGGTCGAACGCGCGTGACTGGTGACGACGAGTCATTTCGGTGATCCTACAAAGCACCGCGCCGGCGACAAACGTACGTGATTCACTTGAGCGCAAAATGCCTGCAAAATGCGAAACGGCAAAACGTGATCTGGCGTCTGAACGCCAACTACTTTTATCATTAACTCGATTGCGATGGTTTATGACAGACAGCATCATGAATGTTTTGCAATGGCGTAAACGTATTTAAAACGTAGTTATTGCAACTTGCAGCATTGTGCGTTTAGTTGTTTAGAGGTCACTCTAAAAGCTCATCTGGTGTGAGATGGGACATCGCATGCAATCAATGAAGAGTGCCTTGTCACGCTTCTACCATTTCTCTTCTGAGCGGAGGCGCCCCCATGGGGGCCAGAAGTGTCTGACCCATAAAACCTTTTCCGAACCGGGTCTGGTGCCCTCCGCGTTACACAAGGCGCCCGAACAAACCCTCCGGTGCCTGCCAGCTTGAACAGTATGAGCGTGTTTGGTCACCGCTGACTGACTGCAAGATGAAGAGAAGTGGCTGGATCCATTTTTAATTATATTAACTTTTTTGATACAGCAACGTCTCTCACTATCTTTGAGCTGCAATGCCCTGCATTTACTCGCCAACTTCGTTTACCGTAAGCTTGGAAAGCTATTAGATATAACCATCCACCACGCTTTGATGCCATCCTGGTTGCCGGCTTTGAGACTGGAGGGATTTTTTGGAGCGTCTTGCATAAATGGCACAAGCCTTGTGGGACTATATGATCTTTTTAACCATGATACCAGTTCTGTGATCGCAGCGCCACTGCCAGTTTTGCTGTCCAGTCACCTATGTCGCCTTCGGTTTTACATTATTTAGCGGCTCATCTGCATGCATGGAGGTGACTTGTGAACATTCGTCATTGTCTCTTCGCCACTTCTATCCCAGAAAACGTAAAATCCCCGGGGACACCCGAACTCCAACTTGCAGCGTTTACAGCGGCTACAAATAACACATTTCATCCGCTGGAAATAAAAGCCTCTGAAGAAATTCGTGTCCATGTCCACGATGGCCAGATAAATGCCGGATGAAAGCGTGCAAGGACAGCTATTGTAGGGTTCGGTTCCACGAGACTGGAGACAGCGCCGGTCTGTCAGTGCCAGTGCTCCCGGGTCTCAAGATACTGGACAAGAGACCACGCAGCGGGCTATACCGGGCTTCCGTCGTCGCCTTATCTCCAGATCGCGTTCAAACTTCACGAAACAGGTCAGGACGACTCAACACTTAGTCATTCTGCTCCAGTTTAGCCGCTATCTTGTAATAAACGTTTTGAGAGCAACGTTCAAAGTCGAAAACTGTTCCGATCAGTGTTGGAACGAAACCATGTAAGATGGATTCAATATACCGTGGCCTGGCAAGCGAAGTAAAAGTGAACTACAGCATGAACACGTGAGTCAAATATCCGTATGCAATGATGGCGATGCGGGAATGAGTCATTAGGCTGATTCACATTTCGTGCTGCGTTTCGTTTGTGCGAGGAGATGAAGCTTGTGCATTTGTAGATATCGTGGTGTAAGACCGTAGC